GCTCCTGGAAAAAATGGCTCGAGTGAAATCTTTGACCTCAAACCCCCCTGTACGTGATTATACAGCAGCAGCATATCAATGGTGGAGAGTATAAGTATCGCGTCCGCTTCGCTGGCTGTCGGCACACAGAAAGTGAGCCGCTCCTGCCGAAGGACATCATTATTTTTCAGTGGCCCCACTGATGCTCTGATTTTGGCCTTTAACTAGGCATATTTGTAGAAGTATTTAGGATTCTCCCGAATGGCAGCCACCGCTCGCGCCTCCGCAACTTGTTGTTCAGCCTCTCCGAGTCTTGCAACTGTCGTTCAGTGTCCTCAATTTTCTCCTTTAGATGTTCCAGCCTTCGCCTCTCCATATTCCTAGAGGCGGCCATTATCTGGTTGTTCAAGCTTGCTCGTTTTCTCATGAGGCTCCGGCTGTCCCTTGGAATTATGTGCCGTTTGGGGGTCGTTCTTCCCGGCGTGTGTTGCGTGCATACCTGAAGTAATACTTCGTATAGTTTGTTGTACATTGCTTCGGCATTTAACTCCAGGAACTCTGATCTCCAGTTGACGTCGAGGAGTTCGTTTTCGATGGAGTCCCAGTCTGTTCTTCAATGATGAAAATTTAGCCTATCCAGGCCCTCTCGACATGTAGGTCTGGGCTGGTTTCTAATCCCAAATGTTGCTTCGACCACTACTAGTCTATGGTCTGACAGTGAGGTCTCCTCAACCCGAATATCAGCAACAAATTCTTCATTGCTGGTGAAGAATAGATCTAGGATATTGTGTTCTCTTGTTGGTACCAGCACCTGTTGACTTAGCAAGTGGTCCCTATCGAATCGAAGTAGTTGTGTTGCCTGGGTTCCGTCCTGATCTCTTCGCCGTACTACACAGTCCAAGTGTGGCCATCGTACGCGTGGTAGGTTAGAATTTCCTGCAACCACAATGTTTGGGGAAGGTTCACCCAAGTTGGCCACCTCTGTTTCTATTCTCTCAAGAGTTTCGTTGAATTTTTCCGGCGGGCAGTCAGGCGGTCGGTATACGATAGCTATGCACTGTTGGAGATGGGGGATGTACAGGGTCATCAATATTTAGCGTTAAATTGTTTTTTCAAAATCAATACACTCGCAAAACAGTCAAATGTGTCGTATGGAACCATGTCGACTGTTCTCCGGAAGGACCTAAAGTTGTCCCTATTCAAGCATGTCAAAACACACCAACTGTCTGCTCAAGTTGTTGATAAACGCCTCCAAAGATCCAAGATTCTTTTTTCCCGCATTCATGATGGCATTCAATGTTGAACAACCACTTCAACTCCCAAAATGATCGAATTTGGTCGAAGAATGGGACGAAGGATCCCGTGTGGTGACTTGGAAGCAATGCCCGATCTCAGTGATGGTCTGGGCAGCCGTAACAGAGTCCTCAAAGAGTCCCCTCTTTTTTGTTGACAAAGGGGTGAAATTGAATCAGAAGAAGTATCGAGATGCAATCCTTGTTGGTGCATTGTTGCCCTGGGCCCGAAAGCACTTCAAAAAACGTCCCTGGTCGTTCCAGCAGGACTCTCTGCATCATCCCATAGGGCCAAATCGACTCAGGAGTGGCTGTCCGAGAATGTTCCCCACTTCATTACCAAAGATGAACGGCCCCCATCGTCACCCGATCTGAATCCTCTGGATTTTGTGATCTGGTCATACCTTGAGAGCAAGCTCTCGACCGTTCACCATAGCAGTTTGGACGCCCTAGAGGTCAAACTGCTGAAGGAGTGGGCCAAAATCCCGCAGAGTGTCATTCGTGACTCGTGTAAGGCTTTCTCTAAGCGTCTACAACTCGTTATTGATGCAGATGGTGGACATATTGAATGAAATTGTGGGAATTGTATCTCTGAACCTCTGCCTACATAAATACATTTTCAAACATTCACAATTGTGTTTCATTTCATAGTTCTAATCACTCAAAGTTGTAACGCTAAATATTGATGACCCTGTATGGTATAACATGATCCACATATTCATTGGAGCCTAAATGCAGGGGAACTGTTTTTGCCGCGATGGAGTTTCTGAGGTAGACTATAACGCCTCCTTTTTTCCTCCCTTCTTTTCGGTCTGATCGGTAATGTTGAAGGCCTTTCATTTCAATTTCTTCATCTTGGATATCCTCTCTTAGATGTGAGTCGGTTAAGGCAAGCATGATTATTCCTTCTGTCTCAGCAATTTCTTTAAGTACGGCATCTTGTGGCGTTTTCTTCTTGGGAAGAGCCCCTCTATGTCGGCTATCATGATGTCAGACTCTTCCTTTCCTTATGTTCTTAGTTGCTGCAACACCGCACTGCCAGGGGTATCTGGCTAAGCAGCTCTTGCATTTGTTGCTGTGATTTCTGCTGTTGTTCGTGCAGTTTCAACAGTTGTTGCATTTGCTGCTGAATCTGATCTACTTGCCTCTGCAGGTGTAAAAAATTGCTGCGCCTGATATCGACTTTTCTGTGTTGTTCTCCACTCCGGTAGGATGTATTGTCTGGTGTGATAATTTTTGGGACAGCCCTGTTGTACCTCTGATTACGATAGATTCGCCCTTCCCAGAAAGGAGTTTTTTTTAACAAATGCATTTTTTTCTGAAGTTTTGAGTTTGGCAGTAGAGTCTATCAGGTGTTCCGGGGATGAAGTATCAAAATCATGTTGCCCTTCGGTATCTCTTCCCGCCTGTTTTCTAAGGTGATGAATGCGACAGTTATCTCGTTTGCAAGCTATATTTTTATAGTATTCCAGCACAATAACGGATGGTAGAATGGGCAGTATTTCCCATTTTTTCATCCACGTTGATTTTTGCTTCCAAATGTTGAAAATTTGTGACAAATATTAGGGTTAGGATACATACAGCTCAAATCTTTATTCTCCTGATCGCAATTTCCCTGAAGATACCTCCAGCAGATGTGTTTGTGACCAGACGGAGTGACAGCCGAGGCATTTAAATTTAAATGGCCTGCGGTAGTGTGTGTGGTGTGGGAGAGAAGAAGGGTTACCCTTTCCCCATCCTTCTCTGGGCTGCGGTCACGGGGTGAGGTGCGAGTAAAGGGAAAGGGAGTCGGGGTACGATTTCGGATAGCGTTGGGGCAGGCGGGGGCAGACTGAGTAGAGGGCGGCAACGCCTGGGCACGTTGACCGAGAGAAACGATCGCGTTAGGCCTAGTTTGAATTCCTTCACTCTCGGTGACACCTTGCACAACTTCGGCACATTTCTTGAACCACTCCTCATTCATTACACATTTTCTGTAGATGAATGACACCCTCGTCTTTACGTATCTAGCAAGTTGGTATACTGGCAGTAGAGAGCATTCAAAGTGACAGAACAGGCTGCATGAATTACATCGCAACTCAAATTGACCGTAATTTAGTTTTTTGCATCCAAGGCATTCTCCAGATGGTTGGCTTGTATAAGCTTTTGCTGCCATTTTTACTGCTCACAATACTGCTCTCTGTACCTTCTCATATACGAGAGGGTACAGAGAGCCCTGTACCCTCTTTTCTTTTTACCCTCTCATATACGAGTTCACTCTATTCTTTAGAATAGAGTGAACTCGAGTTCACTCTATTCTAACCCTCTTTCTTACCCTCTTCTTTTACCCTCTCATATACGAGTTCACTGTGAACTAATTTACTGGTAAAAATTTGTGATATTTACACACAAATTCGGCAGATATAGTGAAATCTGAACACTTAACGGAAAAGGCGAAATTCGGTAAAATGACTTTTAATATCCACTTTATCCTCTATTCACACTCTCATTACTGACTTCACACTGAAATTCAGACTTTTCACTGAAACACTTGGTACAGGATGCGTGTACTGCCACCAACCGGCAATAGAATAAGAGTCATATCAGGAACGGTACGACACGTCACGTCCGTCCTCTGTCACGGCCCAGGCAACACACCCATCTAACACACCTAATCACCATCACACCCAACACGTCACGCATCACACCCAATACTTCGCCCATCACACCCAACACTTCACCAAACACATCCAACACTTCACCCATCACTCTCAACATGACACACATCACACCCAACACTTCACCAAACACACCCAACACGTCACCCATTAAACCCAACACGTCACACCTCACACCCAACACGTCACCCTTCACACCCAACACATCACCAAACACACCCAACACGTCACCCATCACTCTCAACATGACACACATCACACCCAACACGTCACCCTTCACACCCAACACTTCACCAAACACGCCCAACATGTCACCCATTACACCCAACAAGCCACTCATCACACCCAACACGTCACCCATCACACCCAACACGTCACTCATCACATCCAACACGTCACCAATAACACCCAACACGTCACTCATCACACCCAACACGTCACCAAACACACCCAACATGTCACCCATCACTCTCAACATGACACACATTACACCCAACACGTCACCCATCACACCCAACACGCCACTCATCAGACCCAACACGTCACTCATTACACCCAACACGTCACCAAACACACCCAACACGTCATCCATCACACCCAACACGTCACCCATCACACCCAACACGTCACCCATCACACTCAACACATCACCCAATACACCCAACACGTCAACCATCACACCCATAACGTCACTCATCACACCCAACACGTCACCCTCCACAGCCAACACGTCAACCATCATACCCAACACGCCACCCATCGCACCCAACACGTCACCCATCACATCCAACACGTCACCCATCACACCCAACACGTCATTCATCGCACCCTACACGTCACCCATCACACCCAACACGTCATTCATCGCACCCTACACGTCACCCATCACACCCTACACGTCAACCATCATACCCAACACGCCACCCATCACATCCAACACGTCACCCATCACACCCAACATGTCATCCATCACACCCAACACGTCATCCATCGCACCCAACACGTCCATCACACCCAACACGTCACCCATCACACCCAACACGTCACCCATCACACTTACCACTTGGGAACGTCACCCACCGTTCGTGACGTGCCACGTCTCCTCGCCCTTCGTCAGTGCGGCGAGCTCGGCCACCGTCCCCGCGTGGTCGGGACTGCAGAACTCGACGCAGTCCATCACATCGTCGCCGGTGAGGCGGGCCTCCCTCAGTGCCTCCTTCAGCTGCGGCCATCGCTGCATGAGGTCGTGGGGGCTGTCCCTGCTGAGGGCCACCACCACGTGCAGCAGCGCCTCATTCAGCTCCCCCCACCGCCGCGTGAGGTGGCGGGGGCTGTCCCTGCTGAGGGCCCCCACCACGTACAGCAGCACCTCGCGCAGCCTGGGGTTTACAAGTGGGTGTGGATTCATTGGGGGAGTCAAGCCTGTACGTTGTCTGCAGCTTGTGAAATGTTTTGGTTTCTTGCTAGTATAATGTTAAGAAATGTGGCATGCAGCTCATGCCATCAGAGCGGCATGCAGCTCATGCCATCAGAGAAGCGGCATGCAGCTCATGCCATCAGAGCGGCATGTGTAGCTTATGCCGTCGCAGCGGATAAGTAAGTAGCAGAGTAAATACAATAGTAAGTAGGAGGGTAAATACAATAGTAAGTAGTAGGAAAAATACAATAGTAAGTAGGCGGGTAAATACAATAGCAAGTAGTAGGGAGAATACAATAGGAGGAAGGAGAGTAAATACAATAGTAAGTACGCGGGTAAATACAATAGCAAGTAGTAGGGAAAATACTATAGTAAGTAGAAGAGTAAGCACATTAGTAAGTAGGAGGGTAAATGCAATAGCAAGTAGTAGGGAAAATACAATAGGAGGAAGGAGAGTAAATACAAAAGTAAGCAAGAGGGTAAATACAATAGTAAGTAGAAGGATAAATACAATAATAAGTATGTGGGTAAATACAATAGTAGGTAGGAGATAAATACAATATAGTAAGTGGGAGCGTAAATATAATAGTAAGAAGGAGGGTAAATACAATAGTAGGTAGGTGGGTAAATAGAATATAGTAAGTAGGAGGGTAAATACAATAGTAAGCAGGAGGGTAAATACAATAATAAGTAGGAGGGTAAATGCAATAGTAGGTAGGAGGGTAAATAGAATATAGTAAGTGGGAGGGTAAATACAATAGTAATTAGAAGTAAGACAATATCTATAAACATAAATTAGTTCATCATTTCGATTGCCATATACATACCTGCCCAGTGGACATTATGAGTTGTGGGTAAGACTGGCCATGTCCACCAACAAGGGCGAACGATGATTATTGTTCGCACGACTGACACTATAATGCCATCAATCAAGCAATTCAAATGATAATAAGAGCTACAAGTCTAACAAATATTATTGAGCTTTTGAAACGATTGTCCGAATTTAAATTAAATGAAAGTATGCCAGAGAGCCCAACCACGGGGAAAAGTTGCTATTTTATTGTACGGGCAGCAGCTAGCTCAAAACCAGCCCCACAGTTCCACTGACGCGACAAATATTAGGTTTAAACTAGATATCAACTGAATAATGTCTGAATATCAGTAGACCATAACTTCAGTAGACCTGAACATCTGGACCTACCTTTCGTTCTCTGTCGGCTCCACTCCCAGGATCTCTTGAAGTGTATCTTCAGTGAGCATCATCTGCCTAGCAACATAGTTTGCTGCCGCAGTTTCTTGGACGGACTTGTGCGGGAAAGAATAAGTCGTAACCTTGCTTCCGGACAACGATTTCTCCACGACAAGCATTGCGTTGAGGAACATTTCAGTGCCTACTTCGATGATGGAGGAGTGATCTTTTATTATGTCACGGCACTGTTGCTTCAATGTTAAGACATCGGAGGATGTGAAGGTAACATGATTGCTGGCAAGGAACTCCAACGCCCACTTGCCAATGACTCTCAAAAGTTCGTCAATGAGAAGGTCTGGGTCAAGGACACCTTTATCGCTCAGCTTTGCTTTCATGACGATCTTTTGAAGTTCAAATCTTTCCATGGACAGGTCGTTCAAGCGGCTCCATTGGTCAATTTTTTCTGGAGTCTTTTTAAAAATAGAGCAGAAGTACAGCAAAAGAATTGGCTCTGTGAATAATGATTGCACTTCCGGGTTTAGCTTGGAGAATCGTTCACGCATCGCTAGTGCGGCATCACGGCTCTTGGTCAGATGTTCTCCATACTTTTCGATAAAATCCAGCTGTTTTTGTAGCTCTGAGATTTGCAGGATATTATACACCTCTGAAACCTTGCATTTCTTTCTCAACAAGTACTTAAGATCCTCGATAGCCTGAGGACAAGTCGTAATGAGAATGCGGGAGTCCTGGTGCCATGTTTTATCCAACAGCTCGCGCAACACAGCCATTGATACTTCGTTGTGTTCATCGAATCCATCAACCAGGAACAACACGGGGAGCTGCTGGAGAGTTAGCAGAATATCTTCTGCTGTCATTTCCTTGCACAAAACTCCAAAATGACCTTTGACCACTTCCTCTAAATTTTTATTATCTCTGTCCCTGCACTGAATGAACACGACGATTTTAAAGCATTGGAGATAGTCTGGTACGGCAGACTGAGGACCAGAAAACTGTAGCATTAGGTACATGAGTAGAGTGGTCTTCCCAGCACCTACAACGCCTGAGACAAGTGCGATTCCTTCTTTCCATGAATCAAATAACTGCTTAAGCGTAAGTTCATTTTTTTTCGCATCTTTTAACATCACGTTGAGTTGATGAAACACAGCCAGCCTATCAACGCAGCCAGCATCGAAAAATAAATCTTCTTTTGCGTACTCCTGGAAACGTTGATCGGCAATTTGCCTACCCTTTGTGGTAACGCAGTCGCGGTAATCAGCCAAATCTCTCACTTCAGGTGAAAACCCACCACGGGCTGTCATTTTGCCGTTAACCCTGCGCATGGAAACACGAGTTTGGTAACACGTATGAGTTATTATCAATTACAGCCTACAATCTAAACAAACATCTCCCACCTACGCTTCAGTTTATTTGGATGGCATGTCAACCAATCACTGAATTGGTCATTCGCTTCTGAACTTCGTTTTCGCTCCAAATGCTAAGTGACTGACTCCAGGTCGTAACAGGCAACCAGCTGGGGTGGTCGTAAAGACTACCAGCATTCCAGGGAAAAAGTGCCATAATAAAGCAGGCATCAAAGAAGGCTACTAGCAGTCCAGGGGAGAAGTGCCGTAATAAAGCAGGCATTAAAGAAGACTACCAGAAGGACAGGAGAAGAGTGCGATAAGAAAGCAGACATTTGGTACAGGAAGCTTATGTAGAGGAAGATCAAGTGCAGATAGGCCATGTGCAGGAAGATCATGTACAGGAAGATCAAGTGCAGGAAGATCAAGTGCAGGAAGATCAAGTGCAGGAAGATCAAGAGCCCAAAGATCAAGTGCAGGAAGATCAAGTGCACAAAGATTAAGTGCAGGAAGATAAAGTGAAGGGAATGAGTGTGGAATGAGTGTCAGGGACGAATTGCATGCTTCCACTCTGTTATAAATTTCAGGTGGCATCCCCTAAATTATATCAATACTTATTGAACTTCAGTCCAGCAAACTTAGACGGAATCGGAAGATCTTACGTACATTTTTCTACTCGTTTCTTTGTTTTCTTGAGCCGTAAAAAACTGCTGCTTACACAAATTTCTTCAATTAACCGATGCAAGCGATTGACAATTTGGCGTTAATATAAAAACTCGAGGAATACTTTAGTGTGGAGTCATAGACGTGCAATTTAAAACATCAACTCTGCACCAGAAAGCGTGTAGTTGCAGGCGCTGACACTCGTTATCTTGCGTGACCTGATAAGCGCCCTCCTGCTTAACTCGCCGCGCAGCTCAGGTGCTGCAGGGACCACAGATTGTAGCAGGACTTCGAAATCATCTAAAAAAGCGTAAGTATGACAGACTGAGTGCTAAAATTTTTCATTTATATCAAACTATCAGGCTAGCCGGCGTTACTCATAATCCCTGAAATTTTAGAATCCGGCAAGCACCAACCCATAATTTCTGATTATGTTAAGGATAATAAATGGAATGTATGCTAATCATAGAATGGAATGTATGCTAACATAGACTCGTTCTAACCCTCATTTTTCATAGAACATGGAAATCCCAGTGGGTGCTTGTTTCAAAAAAACGAAGAAACATTTATTGTCCTTCTAATCAAATTCACTCATCACAATTAAAAAAGTAATTTCAATATTTCTCTAAATTTTCGGTCCAAAGCAGTCCAGCTATGTTCACCCAGACGCTCGAGAATGGTTTTGAACATATCGGAATTTCCAACTCTCGTTGTTCTGGAACATTAGCGTAGATCTCAGATCCGCATAAACTCAAATGCTTACTACTTCATGCAGCTGCAAGACCGTGCGCTGAGATATTGTTAGCGATGCTCGCAACAGCAGCAGCCCCGATATACAAAAAACGCATACAAATTAAGATATTAACACATTTATAAAACACTTGAGGTGCCATTAAGACTCTGCATCATCGCGCTCAGCTGCGTTGGTCGCTTACGGAATTTCTTAACTATTACTAGGTCCAATAACTCCCCTCATAAATAAGATCCAAGTCTGATATTTGGAATGCCATCTTGGCTAATTATTTTAAATACGTAGACATTAAGATAAATTATGTAAACTTTTTATTTCAACTGTTATCAGGGAGGATGACATTTTGCACCCCGGTGTTCGTAAAGTGTGTGACTTTTCCAGCATTTTCTCGATATACGTCAGTTTAACTATTTTTTCTTCATTTATCGATACCCCAAACATTTCTGAATTATTATTATTCTAGTATTAGATATAAGCACTTGAAGCCGAAAGGTAGGTGAAACTTCCGTAGATTAAAGCACGACCAGACCTTTGGTTGTCATGCTCTCCTGCATTCTCTTCAAGGTAAACATGCCCTCTTCTTTCCCTGCCCACTGGTCTGGTTAATAAATTAATCATTGAATTAAATGGTGCTGGAATGTAGCATTTTAAATTCTATACGTACATGATCTGTGCAGTAATTAGAACATTCAAGTAAATGTGTAAATTTTTATCAGAAGTTCATCAAATACGGTTAAGACATGCATTTAAATTGATATTCTATTTCTTTAGACATTTTTTAAAGTCTAAAAATTAGCGTGTAACAACACATTGCACATTGCTTAATAATCTATAATATTACTACCAAACTGAATATTAATATCAGCCCGCTGAATTAGTATCATACTGAATTACTGATTTAAATTATTATTACTGTGATTGTAAAATTATGATTTATATGATAATAAAAAGGCAAAAATAAATACTTAATTTTAAAGCAAATAAAAGGAGCGAAAACCATAATGATGCGAAGTACAATGGTACGGATTACCATTGTAAAAAAATTTGCAGCTATATTGGCGCAACTGCTACATTAGTATTACATGAGACTACACGTTCAAATAAAGTTTGTAACCTAAATTGTTGAAGTCAAAACATGCCCAGTGGTTTATGAGGGAACCACAAGCTCGTAAATCTCTCTCTCGGCGCTGTCAAGTGCCCTTTCAGCTCCTTCCCGGACCGTGGGAGGCCAGCGGTCGGCCAGAGCAGGTTTGCTCCGGCCGCCCGCTGGCAATTCACCGGCCACCTAAAGCCGCCCCTTGCCAAAAACAATATCCTTGAGGCCTGGGGTGTGTTAGCCACAAATATGTGGCTGAAGTGATAACGAGACCAAGGGCTGGTGACGGCCGAACTTACACGCGAGTGCAGATTTTACAAAGATCTGCTGGTCTCAGGGAACTCCGACTTCAGGGAACTCAATGTTACGAATTATAAATTAGTTAAAATTTATAATTATAATATGATAATTATATAATATAATGTTATTTATATAATATAATAATTATGCCAAATTATAAATTAGTTCACATTAGTTAACAAATGTATGTCTCGACGTAACTAAAAAAATCCCTGCACAATTATTAGTGCAGTTCATACCTCACTATTCTCGTGCACCCTCGGCCACGTCACTACGCAGCCAGGCGCTGCCGCTGAAATTTACCCTCAGTTCGCCCAGTGTGCCGAGCTTGGAGTTGGAGCGTCCGTGAACAGCCCTCTTAAGGTAAAAATTCCTTAGCCCACAGCAAACAAAATAGATTACTGAGGAATGCAGCATACTGCCATTCAAAAATCTTGGCCATGGCGTGCACGATTATCGCCGTGGAAGGCGACTATAAGCGCCACGCGGCAGATTGGCCAATTCTCCCAAATCTCGGCGAAATAGCGTCCGTGGGCCGAGAGGTGACGAGCGGGCCGCCCTGCGACCATCAGCGAAATTTCGCGTGGTACTTCAAGGTTGTTTACAAACGAGGGGCCGCCTGCTTCTAATACTGCCATGTTTCGGTTGCTGCATATGTTTATAGATGAACGATTCTGCAATCGAACTCGTTCGTACGTACGTTGGTGTTCGAACCTAAACGTAGGCTTTGACATCCACAACTATTGAAACCTAATTGTTACTTATATATAGCTATATAGAGCTACTTTTACTTTATACAGAATTTACTTAATTTTACTTTGTATCGAGCTACTGCATTCATACGCATCTTATTATAATGTTATTAGCTCGTAAAATGGAATACTGCTGGAGATCTGACCAAATGAAGGTAAGTTCAATGAATGTATGAATCTAATGATCTGATTTCTTAGAGTTTAAAATGAACTGCATATACTGCATGATTAATTTTATAAAAGATTGTTCAAAAAAATTTATTGTAACTAAAGAGGCATTTCAGAAATAAAATTTTTGATTATTTCTTCTTATATGAAATTATGAAAGTTCAGGGTAATGAAATAGCTGGAAAAGTCATTTCTACAGGAATTAATGAAAGAGTGAAACACTAATCCAAATTTTTCGAATCACGCTGAATATTGATGACAATTTATTATCTAGGATGTTATTTTTGATGATTTGATTACAATGAATAGTTAAAAACGCCTTCACCGACCGAAAGCAACTCCATCATCTCGATTGTTTGAAAAGTTTAAATTACATTTTGACCCCAACGTTAATGGGCTACCAGGGCGAGATACAGGCGCTTTCTTCCATCATCCATGGTGTAAGCTATCCTGACTAGAAACAAATTGACTTGCTAAATATCCAAATATTACGGATTTTTCTTTAATTTACATTATATATTAATATTCCATCTGAATAATGTACAAAAAATTCAATTAAAATTTTTCATCTCAATGTGTCGTACTTAATCAGTTTATTGTGGCAACATATCGACGTGCTCGTGCTTCGCTTCGCAATTTGAAGGTGGACTGAGCGTCGTGAATCTGACCAACCTTCTGTTCAGACTTCAGAGGTTACCGTGCAGTGAGTGCAAATAGCGATTTTTAAACAATCGTTTCCCTCGAAATTGATCCAAAGCGAAGGTGAGATAAACTTTTTTCCACTTTTGTCAGATAAGCTTGCCATTTGGTACCAATAAACGAGCAACTTCTGCCATCTCTCATTCTAAGGGGCTGAGAGCATGAGCCGAACCATCCGTCTAACGTCAAATCAAATTTCGTCTCACAAGAGGCCTGTGGCATGTAGTTACATAGGTATAGATTTGAAATCATCTTCAAGAAAGTTAACAACTCCTTGAAGTAGGCATGTGCACAAACAATGCTCAAATGTAAACAATGCTGGCAAAATGGTGAACAGCTACTTTTTGCATCAGTGCCAAACGGTATTTAATTTTAAAAGTCATGCTCATATGTTAGCTTAATTTGAATAACATTTGCTTGGAATTAAATTAAAGAAACTTGAACTACGATGACACCATCTTATTTTTTAAGAAATTTCTATCTATTACTTACTTAGCAGAGATGTGTGAAGGGTAACACTTTATGCTAAAAATAAACGT